AAGAAATCTCATTTTAGCATTCTGCAGTTCTTTATTTATGCCTCCAAGGAGTGCATACTTATCTGGGTATGCATGAGAAGACTTCTATTCCTTTTTATTTTTCATCTAAAACTAGGACAGGAAGTGAGCTTTACTAGTATTTAATGTAGAGGTTGACATTGGTGCCATCCCTCCAGCTACAGCTACACATCACTCATTCACTTGTGGCTTATTGCACACAAAGCAGCTGAGGGAAGAGTGCAGTTGCACCACACCATATATTGACACATGCATGCTTTAGTTTTCTGTCTATTTGAATAGAAAGCTTACCCCTTATAATACAGCTTTATGTAACCCAATTAAATTGGATCACACATTACCAACTAATGTGTTTTTTGGACATTTTGAAAGACATTTAATACTGTAACAAATGTCAAAATACTTCATATACCAACATTGGACTGAGTAGTGAATCCATGATAAGATGTCACTTTAAAGTCACTCAGATCTAAAGAAACAAAAACTGGTTGTCAATGACACACAAAAATATTCATTTTGCTAATCTTCAAGCAAGATCAACAGTTTTGGTTATAAAACTTTTCAATTAATCATGATTCATGATTCATTACACTCGGACAAATTTCTATGTTGGAGGTACAGAGCCAAGATCACTACTTATAAGGACCTAGCGAGTCAGTTCCACCAAAGTAGCTGATTCAGGAAAGAGTGGAAGCCCTGAAATGGTGGGTCTCATGGGAAGAGATTGCAGGGAAGCCAAGGTCTTGGGAATAGCACAAGGGGCACCAGACCCCTAGCTAACCTTCATGACATTTCAGGTGCTCTGAGGAGTTTTTGGTTTTGATTTTGGGTGAGACACTGAAATTAGCAGTACATCTTAAAATTCTTTCTTATCTAGGGATATGTATTCCAACCGTAGCTTCTCAAAAATTTATAACCCATAAGACAGAATGTAATAAAATAATTACAAAGCACCCGATATTTGCTTTCTGTATGATTCTGATATTTGCTTTCTGTATGCATTATCCACCTCATTACACAATGTTTCTAAAGCAGTTTTATGACTGACCACGCCTCTTCTTAAAACAGCCATGACTTAATGTCTTCATTCAGATAAGCCGAATTCATGTGCTGACTTTCTTTTCCCTTTTAGCTATTAGAAAGCATGAGTTTTCAGACTTGTTTTAATTATTTCAGTTTCTAGTGAATCATTAAACCTACTTTCTACTCCTTCCAACTCAAGCTTTTGAAAACACAGTGGATGGAAGACTGACTCTGGAGCATAGCATCCTTCCAATTAAAGTCCAGTCCAGGGATGGAGGGAGGCCATGGGTCCTGCTGGGACTGCTTAGAAATGCAAAATGAGTAGCACACACCATGTAAAACTACTTACAGCCTGACTCAGGATGGACACTAGAGATTCATGGAGCCTATATTGCCTTACTGGAAAATTTTTTCACTGGAAAGATTGGAGATAAATGTAGTGACCATTCAAGAGAATTATGGGCTCTGTGGTTTGCTAAGCACTAATACTTTTGTTGTTGTTGTTGTTGTTTAATTGCACACATTGTAATTTCTAGAGTCACACGACCTCAGTTCAAATTCGGTTAACCCAAATTTGGCTGTGTGATTGTGTCCTCAAATTCCTCATCGAAAAAGAAATGATAATAATAATACCTACTTCCCAGAATTGTTATGGGGATAAAGTGAATTATTTTTTTCCAAATGAAGTACTGAGAACATGGGAATTACCTACTAAGCTGTCTAGGAAAAAAAATAATACTCCTATGTTTCTCCTCTACTCTAACACTCTATACATTTGTATTCCAAATGTTACCAAAGTCACCAAGATGACCAAATGTGGAGGAGTTTCCCCACACCAAGTGATTCCACTACACCAGTTGAATATACTGGAGTTGGAGGTAGATCCCACAGGTTAATGGGTTCAGTTGCACAAAACTATCCTTTCCCTGCCTTACTCATTTTAGACATCAATTTAAAGTCATCACCTGTGGTTCTGATCAAATCAGAAGTTTCAGTGACTCCCTACTTGCGTTTGATTAATTTGACAGAATGGCTCATAGATCTCAGGAAAACCAGTTTACTTACTAGATTACTGGTTCATTATAAAAAGATCTAACAGAATAGTCAGGGGAAGAGATGTATAGATGTATAGGGGAAGGTATATGGAAAGGGTACAGAGCTTTCATATGGAGGCTCCATAATGCAGGATGATTGATGACATCATGGTCCAGTGTTGACTGATTTCATCTCCAGTTTCTCTTTTCTTCTGGGTCAGAGGATAAGAGTGAAGGTTCCAACCCTCTAAACACGTGGTTGGTTCTTCTGGCAACCAGCCCACATCTTTGGGGCCTTTTAGAAATTCATCTCATAATATAAACTCTGGCATGGTTGAAAAGGTTTGTTATAAGTAAAAAAAGATAACTTTACCACTCTTATCACATAGGAAGTTCTGAGGGTCTTAGGAGATAGAAATAACAAGGAAAACCAAATGTATGTATTTATTTTTATCAACCACAGCATCACACAAGCACTCAACATATATATATATATATATATATATATATATATATATATATATATATATATACATGTTGGTTATGTTAATCTATATAAAACAATAGGTAGCTATTATTCTCATTTTAAAATTAAGAAAGTTGCTATGTTTCACCTCTTCTTTACTATAATGCTCTATATATTTGTACTCCAAATGTTACCAAAGTCACCAAGGTGAACACATGTGGAAGAGTTTCCCCACACCAAGCAACTTTCTTGGACCACACGATAAGTGGTGATTCTTGTATTGGTATCTAAGTTGATTAATCTGATCTAAATTTGAAATTCTTTTCTCAATACCACACAGCTCCATAAGAAAAAAATATATGTTATAAATAAGAACCAAGCAAAACTTTATAGCAGAGAGAAGGCTAAGTCATTTCTGGCCTTCATTTCTATTTTACTAAAACTATCTCAAATCAATTTGATTAAATCCTTTACAAAATAGGATTTGACCATGAATTTTGAGCTTAAATTTTGAGGTATGATTTTATGGGATGTGGGAAAATCTAATTGTTTCTTCAGGGATACAGAGTAGTTATGTGTGGAATGCAGCCTTGGAGTTTCAAGTATAATAGCAAAACTACTGCTCTTGTTATTATTCATATATGAATCAATTTAAATATCTACCCAGTTTTTAAATTACTTATTGGAAGTTTCATAGTCCTCATTTCATTTGCTTTTGTTTTATTTTTGGTTTACTTTTGCATATGCTTGTGTGACAAGGACTAGAAAAACAGCTTTTTTTTTTTTTTTTTAAGAATCAGAGATACTTTGCTTCTGTAAGCAAAAAATGCTTTGAAATTGAGAGAGCAAAGCAAGTAACAACAATGTAACATACTTTCCTTTTCCCCCATGCTGTAGATAACTGGAATAGTTCAGCACCACATCTAACCTCTTACATAAGTCTTATGCAAGAGATGTGAGCCAGTTCTTTCCTGAAACAGCTCCAGAGCTAATTCAGATATTGAAGGGCCTTTGCTTCCTAATATTCCTGGTAAGCATGGCATAAACTTACTTTACTTAGTTCACTTAGGTTATTTTTAAATCACTTGGGTAAACACGCACACTCACATTTACAAACATCCTTGCCAACACAGTGAAAGCTCATATTGTGTTTGTTCAAGTATGCTTAGCCTGGGAGGGGAAGGGGAAAGGGAGAGAAAAAATTGGAATGATTAATGCTACTTACTTAATCTTTCATAAAAACATATGCAATAACTGAAGGCATTTTAAAAACAGACTAATATTATTCATCGGGCCTTTTGTGGGACAAAAGTTCAGCATAGAGGGCTAGCAGCTCTGTTAACTATAAATTTGATTTTTGCTTATTTTCAAAGTGAGGCAGCTAAAAGTTAAGCAACTCAAACTCAAGGACAAAGAAGAAATCAAAAACAGATAGATTAGTTCTCAGAGATCTTGTTGCCATCATAAGTAGCAGAGATCCTTGTGGAAGGAGGGTGGGCAAGCAAAAGATACAGTTCAGGAAATACCTCGTTTCTTCTTTTAGAGCAGTCTTCTGAGATAGTCCTCTCCAGATGAAGGTAAGAGCAGCTTTCGGAGGCTCCTCTTAGAATATTAACTAACTTGAGACTGCCTCAGGGCAGCTATTGTTTCTGTGGCAGGGAATGCAGCACTGCACACACTACGCTTAGCTCCTGCCTCGTGGGATTGACTAGAATATGGTCCAGTGTAATGGTTCTCAATTATTACTGTATTCTGATTTGGTGGTGGTGGGAGGTGAGGGAGGTGGAGGAGTGAATAGGCCACTCCCCAAAAGGGTACTTTGACACATGGATAGTTTTGAGCTGAAGCAACTAGGATCTAGCAGATTTAGGAAGACTTTTCTTTATCTCTCCCTTAACTGTCTAAAGTAATTTAGATAGTCTATTCCAGAAAGAATCACCATAATCAACTACAAAAAAAATGAGTGAAATGTGGTAGATTGGGGGAAATTAGCAAGGCCTGTTTCTTCAAATCCCTCGATGTGTCCCTTTGTCTCTACCTAACATGGCTGTCCTTTGCTTACCAAACATTTGTTTTTCCTGTCTTCCCACAAATTATCTTCCTCCCCTTTCAAGTCTCAGATGTCCATCCCATTCTCCCTAGTTGAGGGTGGCATATAAACCCTTTCCATCAGGTAGTCCCATGTCCTTGTGGGGTTCCTGTACATACGTATGTAATTAAATTTGTTTCTCTCCTGTTAATCTGTCTTCTGTCATTTTAATGATTAGACATAGAAGGATAGAAGGAATTTTTTCCTCCCCTAAAGAATCAACCAGGACCTTTTGTGAAATATCATGCCTGGGTCCTACTCCCCCAGAGAGATTTATTCAATTGGCCTGAAGTGGAGTTAGGATGCAACTGTGTTTGAGAATTACTAGTCTAATAGAAATACTGCTGTGGTACAAGCAGCTGCTAGGCAGGATGTGATGGTATTGTGTTCTTTATTTAAATAGTCTTCCCAAAGTATTTCTTCTTATCTCTTAAGATATGTGAGTGAAGTGAGTTTAGGTAGTTTAGAAATGAACATTATTTACTCAAATATTTCTACATATACACATAGATACATATACATACATATACATACATGCATTTATTTTGTGTGCACACATATGTTTATACATAGCAGATCTGACTTCGAATAGAAATTGCCTCCTTTATGGCAAATTGGAGTACTTTTTTTGTGGGTGTGTATTCCTACATGAGTTTTCTTCTCTAAACTGCTAATTTCTGGAAGGGCCCTGTCCCATTTTTACATTCCCTTTAACATTTGACTCCTTGTGTCAGTTGACTAATCAGGAACAAGCTCTGTTAAAGTATGTTTGGTTAGAGTACTCTTTTTCTCACAATGCAGCTTCAGGACACAACCTGAAATCTAAGTATCAATTGAGTCTAGCCAATTCATGTATCTATGAATAGGAATGCTAAGAGGACTATACATCTATCTGTGAGGAAATGAATCTCAACTAGTATTTTGAAAAATAATGGAAAAAAATCAATTCACCCTATAAATGATAAGCTATATATTTAAATATAGAGTTTAAGAAACTAATTGTGCAATCTCTAATATATAGTGAGTATCCTAATACCAATTTGTGTCATTTTTTCCCAACAAATACTGACTTATTGACTTCCTTCTTTTGATGGGAACTAGTGGAATTTCTGTTCAAATCTGGCCAAAATTTTCATCTTATTTGAGTCTCCAGGATCTATTGATCTTTTTATATATCTTCCATGTGATTCTACTCCCAGGGTGTTTTTGTACTGAGGTTGCCACTCTCATGTATTAGAGGCATAAATAGTCTCCTATATTGTAAATGTTCAAAGTGCTGGTTTTAGACATTCTTCACCAGCTATATTTAAAAGGATTTCATTCTTCCAAAAGTTTCTGTTAAGTGCTTGCCACATAATGGGAATGACTTCTCTCTCTGTTATATGACCTTGCTCTCTGACTCAAACTTGTTTTCTGCCTTATTATGGCAATAAAAATATTTAAAATTTAGCAATTTCAGCAGGAAGAGTAATTTCCTGATGTGATCTAGCCCATACCATCCCTCAACTGTTCTAAGTCAATTAATAATACCATGAAACCTTCAATCAAACATCATTATGTGTTTTACCTGGCAAGAGAACCTTCAAGGTTTTATTATTTAACCTTTTCAGACCCACTATTATATGGGCCTTAGTAGCAGTATATGATATATAGTGTGAATGTAATAATTTTTTAAAACTTCCTAAACAATGTATTACTTGAAAATAGTTGCCAAAATTGTCTCTAAAAATAAGATTACATTAAAAGATATTTCATGAATTAATGTAGCCAACTGTGTGGCTAGAATAGAACCAGGCAGCCCCACGTCTGTGTGGGGTTCCCGTACATACTCATGTAATTAAATTTGTTTTTCTTCTGTTAATCTGTCTTCTGTCACTTTAATGATTAGAACAGCCAGAGAACCTAGAAGGATAAAAGGAAAAATGTAAGGGAAGTAGGTGGCTATCCACATACCATGGTTTTAAAGAGTATCAGGATATATATATCTTACTGCAAACATTCCACTTGAAATTCTATTATGAGAGATATTTCAATCATTACTTTGAAATTTAAAACTAAGTTATATACTGTATCCCAAAGGTGAAAATCTGAACGGTTTAGTGAATAGCTACCTTGAAACAAGAGAGTCTTCCGGTAGGAGGTGTAAGAATGGAAAATGTACTTTGTTTCTTTGTGGCATGGATAAGGGAAAAGAGACTGAGAAGCCAATTGATGTGGTAAGGAAAGAGAAGTAGAAACAGGCATTTTTTAGTTTCTAGCTCTATGAAGGATGACCTAACACTAGATAGTTGCTTTTTGACTGTAGGAATAAAGCCAGCAGAGAGTTTCTGGCTCTAGGCTAGCACTTCTCAATAGAACTTTCTGCAATGATGAAAATATTTTCTGTAGATTCTATCCAGTGCAGTAGCCACTGACCACATCTGACTATTGAGCATTTAAACTGTAGTTAGGGCAACTGAGGAACTGAATTGTTAATTATAAATAACCACATATGGCTAGTGGCTACTGTACTAGACACCATAAATATGGACATGTTCCTTTTGTAGAGGCAGAGAGGAAATTTTCCCTGACTTCTCTGGGTCCTTGGTGTTCAAGCAATCACATTAACATCGGACAGATTTGGTAGAAGAAAACCCAAAATTAATTACTTATGTATAAAGTAGATTCTAAAGCCAATGAGGCAAAATGGGGGTATTTCCTGAGCTCAGGAATGCAATAAGGGCCTCGGGTTTCAAGGAGAGAGATGGGGAACTCACATGACAAAGAGAGAGACACACTTATAGAACCAATGCCCTATAATAAGATGTTTTTCCTTCCATGCAGAGAGGTCTTTCTGGTAGAAATCTTGTAACTGATAAAGATTTTTTTTCTGCATAACACCTCCAATTTCATTATTCTAGGTAGCTAAGGGCATGATAAAAGTTTCTCCTGATACTGCAGGGCCTTCATTGACTTCAGCTTTAAATAATCAACATGCCAAATGACAATTGTTGGGAAGGCCTATTGTGAACATCTTGGGGAGAGGCCTGTCCTTTACTTTTAAGAGTCCTGCCTATATGCTGCCTTCTTCATTTTTTTTTAAAGATGTATTTATTTATTTATACAAGCACTGGGTACAGTCAGAAATGCGGGAGGGTGAGAGAATTCACCAGAGCCAGAGTGGGGAACAGAACAGGCAGAAGGACCGAAGTACACTGCTGAGGAGAGCAGTGGGCAAGACAGGAGAGGTCTGTTGCGCCATGTGGAACCCTTGCCGGCGGCTGGGGATGGAACCAGCACTGCAGAGGCTGTGAGCAGCTTTGTAGCCCAGCGCTCAACCGCTGCACCACCAGGGGAGGCCCCTTCTTCATATTTTTATGGAAGGGATATTTCCAAATGAGATATACCAAATTAGCATGATTTCTTCTATTATCACTGTCATTGCACTTATTATCAAACACACTTTCTATTTTAATTTTAATAGAATTTAAAGATAAATATACTTTTTTTAACACCTGAAGAAATGGATTGAGCGAGGTCATGAAGATAGTAAAGGACAGAACAGGAATTTTAAGCCTAGATCACTTTGACTTTGAAAAGTCTATTTTCTTTCCACTATATATTACTAAAGCCACCAAATATATAAAAATGCTGTGAAATTATATCTGTGTCTGCTTTTCTAGGTCAAGCCATACCTTTATTACATTTTATTACCATGAATATAACATTTTCTCTCTCTCCATTATTCTCTGTACTTATTTCTCCCTCTTTTATGCAACCAAAGATAGTGACTGATGTCTGTAGCATAAATGGTTCTCTTAGGAGACACAAATGGAGTCATAAAAAGCATGGATAAATTTATGGCAGTAGGGCTATAAATTGCCACTACCACTCTGAGATATAGTTACCTTTAAATTTTGTTAGGTAAGACAGCTGTATATTCCCATTGCATGTTACCTGAGATAACTATTCATAGCTAAACACTGGGATGGATTGACTGGTATGACTCAGTTCAAATCCTATATTCTTATGATAGACCATTAGCAAGTCAGGGAATCAGAACCTAGGTGGAACTCAGTTGTAAGCTAATAATTTATAGTTCAGGGAAGGTCTCAAGCTCTATCAATTCATTATGCAAAAAAATATTAATTGCTTGACAATGTAAGACTCATCAAAATCAAACATAAATAAATAAAGTCATGAAAAGCAATATTAATTTTAGAGATGGCAGAAGAGCATAATATAATTGACAACACAGCTATAAAAAGAACCCTAATTAATGAATTTTTAAGTGTTCTTTTCAGCTGTTGCATTTAGTCTTCTTGAACTAGAGTTTAGATGGCAGTAAAATGAGCCAAAATGGAAAAAGAAAAGACCAAGTATCTAATTAGAGCCACGGTGTCAAGGCAAAGCCAGTTTTCTGAAGAAGCAAGGAAGGTCGAGGGTCAGCTATTTTAGGAACAAATGGTAGCCAGAGTTGTAAGCCTAAAGAGAACTTTAAAACTAAGAAACAGCCCTCAAGAGAAAAACAAGAGATATACAAAGTACATGTCTGCAGCAAATGACAAACTAACAGTGGGTCAGATATTCGTAGAAAGCCTAAGTGGATGGGCAGCTGGCATTGACAGGGGATAATATAAGCAAGAGACAAAAGAGGTCCACAACAGAAAAATCTAGCCACTGAAGTCCAAGGCAAGAAATATCCTCTGAGAGGACAGTATATTTTATGATCTAAAAGCTTGTGTTCCTCTAGTTTCATATGTTGAAATCTTACCCGACTCCCAGCTCAGGGTAATGGTACTAGGAGGTGGGGCCTTTGGCAGGTGCTTAAGTCATGTGCTGTTATGAATGGGACTGATGTTCTTATAAGGGGTGCTCCCTCACCCCTCCTACCACTTGTGACCAAAAGGAAAAGACTACTGCTATGACTGGCAAGAGAGTTCCCACTAGAACCTGACCAAGCTGGTGCCTTGATCTTGGACTTGAGTCTCCAGAACTGTGAGAAATAAATTTCTGTTGTTTATAAACCACCCAATTTATGGCATTTTTTTTTTTTTGTTACAGCAGCCCGAATGGACCAAGACAATAATAGGAGTTTAGCTACTGAAGTATTAGGGCTTAAAAAAGGAAGCCAGTTGTGAGACCTGAATATGCAGCTGAGATTGAGCTAAATGCAGGGATGACTCATCGCTGAGCAAGGGAGCTGCCTCCTTCAACTCAGGGACACACGAGGTCTGAGGTGTGGGCGAGGAACTGGACCAAGAGAAGGCTCAGTGCAGCCTTTCCAGAAAGTGGGACCATTTGATGTCTAAGCTTATTGAGAAGAGATAATATCCCCAGAAATCAGCAGTAAGGACATCACTTCTTGGGTGTTGCTGAAAAAAGATGTATGTTGCCAGTGGGTAGGGCCCTTCCTTCCCAATGGATAGACATGGGTTGGTTGGCAGGCAGTGATGAGGAGAGCAACACACATTTTTTCTACCTTTCATCCCTCCTCCTAAAGGCATAATCAGAGTGAAACAGATTTTCACGCTGGTCAGCACCGGGACCCTTTTTGAAACACAAGTGTTTTCTGATGGAGCAGGTGAGCCTCTTTTCCAGTGCAGTGTCCTCTTTCTTCCCAGTGGAAACCAAACGCTGCCGTGTCCTGGGAATTCATACTCAGGAAAAATGAAGCATGTTCCTTGTGTAATTGCCCTGGGGATGGGGGAACAAATGCATAAGACCACACCCCTGCTACAGCACATGATAAACGTCACCAGTGATCTCTGCTGATGATAGGCATGCTTTGAAGAACTCACATGACTGTTCCCCTGGAATCCATTTACTTTTTTGGTATCTATTTATTGTTTCTCCATCCACATTTGTAAAAGACATAGAAGTTGCACTTAAGTCTAGAGCTTGTTTTTATTATTTAATAGGAGCTCTGGCTTCTGAGAGGAGTCAAAGGAGGGATGGATTTGGTGAGTGGGTTGTATTTCACTGTTGAGTGAGTGGATGAGTGAGTTGTATCTCGAGGCCACTGTCAAAAACTCAGCAGTGAAATATGCTTTTGTTCTTTCCCACCTAAATTTCCTAGTCTTGCATAGATGTGGTTCTCTGTGGTTCTCCTTCTTGGGTTTTCATTTCTTTTTGAAACTATTGATTGGGCTAGGGTCACAGACCAGTGGAGATGCTATGCAAACCACCAATCAATCACATATTAAGAGAACACTGAAAACAACAAAACATATTAAGGATATGCCTAAAGAGGTTTATAGATGATTTCTGTAATAAAGAACAAAGTTTATATTTTGTCTGGTAGCATAAGATGCCCGGGGGAGGCGAAGATGTGAAGATGATGTTGAACAGTGAGAAAGAACATTGCAAAGACTTTTCCAGTGTCATGCTGTTTTAAGGATTATGTTCTTAGATGGCGATAAACCTAACAATTGGAATCGTGTTTTCTCAGCTCTAATTTGAAAAGTGCTAGCTTTTGAAAATCTCTTCCTTGTTCCTTTGTTTACATTTATTTTGAACTTTTGTTTTCTGTTATGATGAGGTTTTATAAGTGTAAGTCTCTATTAGCTATCGATAGATGGTGGGTGGACCTGCCTTTGTTTACATAGGCAGCTGTTGGTCAGCATCTCTGAAAATTTTAAAAAGTTATCAGAGGTGAGAAGGTTTATATCCAGAATCAGGAAAAACTACAAAAGAAGTTCATTTTTATAAATGGTATTGTCTTATATAACCCCCTGGAAGACACCCAGTTCTCACTTCTAAGAGCTCTTCTGAGTCAATTTGTCATTTGATATTTTGTAGAGTTTGCAGTAAATTGGAAGAAGTGACTTCTCTTACTGAACTTCAATGATAAACTAAATTCACTCAATTTTATACTTTAGTTCCTTGAGGGAAGCTATTTTATCTCTTTCTTCTCTTTGCCT